GTCGGTGTAAGCGTGAGCGATTTGGGGGTATTTGACCATGAATGATAATCACTGAGTGCGATGGAGGTGAAAATGCTCCCTCATATTTCTTGTCATTGCTTGACTCCATATATTTACCACCTACCCAGCTGCACCTTGACATCAGTAACGCAGGACGGCAAATACCACTCCACTGCAAATACCACTCCACTGCAAATACCACTCCACTGCAAATACCACTCCACTGCAATTACCGCGAGACTCCATTCAGAGCCGCGCGCTGCCTGTGCGATCGCCTTAATTACGCTGTTTAGATTAGAGTGATGCGTGATAAATCCATACCCTGAAGGCACGTCGCGTCTTATGAAATATGGAATGTGATCGGCATCACCATGCACAGCCGTGCAGGCATCTGCCCTGTGAAGCTGAATCCAGTTCTGACCATTTCATGTGGGAGAAGAATATGAAGATTTCAGGGGAGATTAGTTCGTCTTATCATTTTCTTTGAGGGTTCTTCCTCTCGTTCCTCCCCTTCTCTCATGGTCTGAATCCCTTTGCCTCATTGCTTCTCCCTATCTGGTGTCTCTCTGCCAGAGTCTGCAGGTGTACCTGCTTATCACACTTGGTCTTTCTCCCTCTCCCTCTCTCCCTCTCTCCCTCTCCCTCTCTCTCTCTCTCTCTCCCTCTCTGCCCCTATTGCATGCGCTACCCATTTATCTCCAATCTTATGCCGATGAGCGGCGTGAGGGGAGCTAGACCCAGTGATCACGATGGCACAATGCCCGTCCGTGATGTCGTGCCCACACCAACCATGGAAAACGTGGAGATGCCCGTTAATCTAACCACACCGAAGCTTGCAGTTACTGCGACATTCCCCATTTTTTAGATACTGACTGGAAGCTTGTACGGTATTAAGGTAATAGGTTATTTTGAAATCTGTGTGCTTTTCTATGCCTTTCTGAGGAGCAGTCTGGTTCATTTTAATTATGAAACCAGTGAACTAAAGTAGCTGTTTGAGGTGTATTGCAGTTCATGCCTCGGTCCACTAGAGGCGCGATGGCGCAGTGTGGCACCCAGCGATCGGCGCAGTTGTTTCTGTATGCAGCATTATTTTAAAAAATGGTAACGAAGCAAATTGGTGACAAAAAAAAAGTCCTGATGGGTCTCTTCTCTGGTGGAAATCCAGTGAAAAACTGCTTGCTGTTGTTGTCAAGTGTAGCCCTTAAATACTTGTGCGTCTGTGTAACAAGTGCAGCATCCGAGCAAATATTCAGCAGAGCAGGGAACACGGTCACCTTGTAGCACTCACAGCTGAAGCCAGATAAAGTTCACATGCTTGGGATCCAGCAAAAAACCTAGATTAGATTGGTATTTTGAACATGCTAAACCAAAGGACATGTCCCATGCACCTTGAATCCCTTCATTTGAATTCTGTTCACATTGTTGAAATTGTTTTGTTTATTAAATGTTTATTATAACTGTAGAAACTATTCATTTAATTTGTCTTTAAAGTCAATTTAATTATTTTGTATCTCTGCATAATAATTTATTGTAATGTTTGTAATGTATTTTATAATATAGCTGTAATATAGTTTATTGTTCATTTACCATTCATTTATATCATGATTAAATTCGATTCAGTTGTTTTGTAAAATGTTTGTACAAGAACATTTGTAATAAAGAAATACATGAGTTTAAATTGGCCTTGAGTAAATTAATTGCTAAATTTGATTGATTAAATAAACAATTGAGACAATTATTCTACTCGCCAACAGCCCCACCCGAAAAGCCTTGCTTTTGAAAATACCGTAAAAATACCGTATGGCTGGAAGGTATGAAAAAATAGATATAGTACCACCCAAGTCTAGATGACTGTTCTTTGACCTGTTTGGTTACTCTAAAATAAAGAGCGGTCATATTACATCACACCTGGCTTCCCAAAAAAATCATTCACCGAAGTTGCAACCTAATAATCATGACTTTTTCTCTCTCTCTCTTTCTCAAGGAAGATGAACAGTTTTTTCATTCTGAAAATGTACTTTTTGTCTAGAATGGTCAGATTTAAAAACTTCAGTTCAGGGACCCCCACGGTCCACCCTGTGGAGAAATTTGCATCCAGAGCAAGAGAATGTGGCTACAAAGTGCAGTTAATAAGACTTCTGTGCGGGATCAGCTGCGTGAGTAAATCCACTGGCGAGCTCCTCTCCCTGCCGGAGATTAGCGTCCGCAGGCACCAGCGCAGAGCCGTCGCCGTGGCAGTGTGTCTGGTTCGGGGAGATAACTCAGCAAGAAAGGAAGGGGTTCTCATCATGTAAATCCACACCATGCCAGTGTAACTGCCTTCTTACAAATACCATCCTTCCCCTAGTCATGGATGCTGCATGAATTAGGAGTCCTAAATGGCCCGGCTGTGTTTGTGGACCCAGAAAACCTACTGGTGGCAGTAATTGACTGGGACCCTGATTGAAACTTCTGAGCATCTGATGATGAGAGTGAAGTGGGTTATTGTTTGTTTGTTTGTTTGTTTGTTTTGTACTCGGACGGTCTGTCCATCACAGCTTCTCCTCCATTAACACGGCCGCTGACATGGACTCACATCTTTGCTTGGGGCGACTTTCCTGCACCCATCCGCTGCTCCACTTACAGCCGTCGCTGAAATGCAGAGGCCAGCGGAGTTTGTTTTTTGTCGGCTTTCAGTTCTTTCCACCTCGCCGCATCCCACTGGCCGGGATCAGAAATACATCATCGTCACTGACAGAGAGAGAGGGAGCACCTTCTCCTGTCCACAGCCTCTGCATCTGCTTTGCTGTCATGGGACGCTGGCTGGTCCCTCAGGCCGCCCCCCAGGTGGAGCTCATGTGAGGCTGAGAGCCTCTTTGTTCTGAGATGGATGGTGCCTAAAGGTGCCCGCGGGGGCCCCCCCTGGCCATCGTACTGTGCTGAGATCTCTGCAGCGATGCGATGATTCTACCTCCTGCTTCTGGGACACCTCCCGCCTGACCTTTTCATGCTCTTCTGATAAGTGCTCTCTCCTCGCTGCAGCTTTCCTGCTGAGCTGCTTAAGTACCAAAGCACCTGAAGTGAAAGGTGGCACGTTTACCCCCCCAGGGACAGTTTGCGGAGGAGTCCGGCCTCGTGCTGTGACCTGGCCGGCGGTGTGCAAACGTAAGCCCCCAAGGGACGAATCCCGTGGGGCTTCTAGGTAGTTCGGGCCCCTCCGGGGGACCCATGCGGACGTCCCTCTCTGTGCTGATTGGGCAGGAGTTTCTCAGAGTTTGGGTCACTTTGCAGCCATAGAGGACATGCCCTGTTTTTACTCCAGTCCAGGAACAGGAAGCCGGCAGCTCTGTGATGGAAGAACATGGGTGCCGTGTGCAAGGGCATCGCTAGAGATTTTGGGCTCCGTGACAGCATATCAGAATGGGCCCCCAACCTAGACCAATCCAATTATATTCCAATTTCTTTTGTGGTTTGTGGAATTGTCCTAACTTCTCCCTCATTATGGCTCCCCTGCTCCTGTGAACAGTCTTTCCCCATATTAATGGTCATTAAATACATTCTACCAGCACAAATAAGCCTTTAGTATGTCAGCCCCCTATGCGCTGATGATTGTTATCTTTCCATCCATGTGTCAGCCAGCTGATTAGTCTCTGATCCTTTACTAGAAAAAAAACATCCAATTAAGGGTGTTCTGGTACTTTCACCATGTTTTGGGATGAAAGCGTTGACACTGGTCATGTTTGCCTGTTGTCCTTTAGTTCTCTGCTGCATTATTGGCTGACAAACAGCTAAGGCTCCTCATTTAGGAGCCTCGGTATCCATGACGATCCCCCGCTCGACGCGTCATAAGCGTAATTGTGCCGTTCGGGCCCTGGGGCTCCGTGAGGCTGGCAGCCCCTCCGTCTGCCTTTCTCCGGCTTCGTTATGCCAGTGTGTCTGGGCCCCGCATGGGAGACGTGGCCCACGGCTGCCATACACTATTTCCGGAGCAGTGCGGACGACAGTCACGGTGAGACCGCCGGCAGACGCTCGTGTCGCTCGCGTTATCAGACGTTCTTTGGAACCTGTTTACTGCGCCGATGCTATGGGAGAGACTCAATTTCATCCCAGCTTGTGCCTGGCAGGCAGGACCCGCCTGATAACCACTCTCAATCTAGTGAGCAGGAGCGATTGTGGCTTTGGCCCGCGGCAAGAGGCCGGGGAGGTCGCCGGCGCTATCAGGTCCTGCCAGTATTATCTTACAGTTTAATTAATTTTTAGTGATGGTGTTGAGGGCCCCCAACGGTCTGCTTTTCCTCTCTACTGCAGCTCATTGTAAGTTAGGGCCTCGCAGATCATTGAAAGCCCCATTTGAAAATGGCAAATTGAATTTCCTTTTATCCTCCTTTGAGTAGGAGGGCCATTGTGTCCCCAAAATAATCCTCCGTCGAATAGGAGAGGGTCTTTTTTTCATACCTTATGAAAGAATCGCACCCCCCACAGTTATAGCTAATTTTCCCCTTTCAGCTCCATGTTTGCATTAGCGTGTGTTCGCTAATGCTTGCCGATGCTGCTCCATGGCGGTAAATTGCAACGCAGATCGAGGCTGGTTCTCCCACATGAGGACCGAGCTCTCGCCCCCGCTGTGTCTTTCGAGCGCCCCTCGCCCTGCGTGAGGCCGCGGCCCGGGCGGCGGTCAATCTGTCAATGCGTCTCATTCAGCTCCATCCGCATCGCTATGGCAACGATGCGGCCGGCATGCCTCCGGCCCAGACTGCTGCCTCTCCGCGGATGGTTTCCTGGACAGCAGTTAAAAACACGATGTGGGAGTCAGTGAGTCTGGTTGTTAAAGTTCAGAGTTCACAAATGTGTCAGGGTCTGGTTGGCACCACGCCTGTACTTTAAAGCTTAAATAACAAAGCTTTTATGGTGGGGGGTGGGTTGACATTTTCTACAATCCCATGAAATGGTCCATTTGCTGGTGTGCGGTAATGTGGAATACACATCTGTAATTTTAATATTTTTTGTCTTTTTTTTCACAGGATGCTTTGCTCCGGCTCGCCTCCATCACTGAAGCCAGTTCCCTGCGGGATGTCATTAAGGAGGTTCTGGAGGCAGTTCTACCCAAAGTCGTACGTACCCTCCTCACGGTTTACCCGTATGACTCTGCCCCCGTACATACCCTCCTCACGGTTTACCCATATGACTCTGCCCCTCTACGTACCCTCCTCACGGTTTACCCGTATGACTCTGCCCCTCTACGTACCCTCCTCACGGTTTACCCGTATGACTCTGCCCCTCTACGTACCCTCCTCACGGTTTACCCGTATGACTCTGCCCCTCTACGTACCCTCCTCACGGTTTACCCGTATGACT